GAAAAAAATGCTTGGGAAAAAAACTATTTGCTGGACACGCACCCTAAAATGCTGTTCCTGCCCCTTTTCATAGCACCATCTGAACAAAATTGGCATATTCAAAGTCTAGCTTAAGAAAGCATTTGATAATACTGTTTGCAACGTCAAGTCACATTTACATTTGTAGCACCTTAAGCAGGAGTAGATTTACACATATTTTTTTACGAGTTTTGCTTTCAATTACGATCACTCATTAGTTTCTAGGTCAAGGCAGATTTTCAGTGTTTAATGTATTTTACTTGTGAACGTCTGACCTCAACAGACTGAACAGATGGAATTAACCGAAGAAGCAATGCTCTCTTGACAGGCCGTCCAGCCAGCACTATCAAACCTCTGCAACTGATCCAGAATGCAACAATGAGAGTGGTCTTTAACAAGCTGAAAAGAGCACAAGTCACGCCTCTGTGTATCACTTTCCACTGGTTGCCATTTTTCCAATAGACTTGCATCAGATTCAAGGCATCGATGTTTGCCTTCAAAACAACCACTGGTTCTGTCTGCACCCCTTTAGTGACTTCATTCTTAAGCCCAAAGTATATAAAGATATTTCAGACATTTGCTTTCAAGGCTGTTTTTTTCTCTTGGCTGCTGCATGACGGTTTCTTTTTAAAATCACATTTTACAAGCTATAGGTTGAAAATGCAATTATTTAGTCTCTTATTTCTTTTTTAAATACTTTTATCAAAATTAACCATTAGCCTAGTGGGCAGTGTTTAATAGCTTGTTCCTAAAACTTGGATTGGCGACAAGACTTTTGTCAGGTAGTCTATACCGTGGCCTTAACGCTTGACCTTACTTGAATACATTACATATACTTAAATTTCAATTATAGATATTTATTTAACTATTTCCATGTGACTTTAGTGTTTTTCATAAATTGAATTTGGGAATGTATTTATAAAATCACTGAATTATTTCTAAAGAAACTAAACAAGACAAATTTTGTATCTGCTCTAAGAGCCTCTATTCTCTATGCTTCCTTGCTCTTAGAATCAGTACTAGTAAGAGAACATTTGCTTTTTACAATTTAACCTTCAAACCATCTTTAGTGTTATTAGTGGCAAAGTTTAAATCCGACCTGGTCAGCCTGCTTCAAAACCACATCCATTAAGGAATGAAGCCAGTAGGCGGAAAGTAGATGTACTATTGAGGCTGTTTGAATATATTCAACTAAATGAGAATCTGCACTTTAAAAGCAATCTGAACAAATGCGCTTTTGACTACCTCTGGAAGTGCTTAAAAGTAGACAAAATCAAAACATTTTAAAAGATTGGGATAAATGCATCTTAAATTAGCATTTATCAGTATTTTAAAAACACTTTTGACCACAATGTGTGTCTAAAACACAATCAGCAATAAGGGGCAAGTCTACAAACTATCCGCTTGATAAGTCGTGACGTATGGAATACTGTTTCCGTGTCCAAGCCGCTACTCATTTGAATTGAGAAAACATTCGTTTATGACCACTTTTTAGTCATATCACACATTAAAGTGAATTTTATATAAAATCATGGACTTACTGCATCACAGACACCAATATTTTAACAATTTATAAAAACGCAAAAAAAACACATTCTGTTCACCACATATTAGGCATAGGTGTATAATATATTGTGATCGTGATTTTCGAAAGTATTACAGCGCTTTGTAAACGTTTATTGTTACCATTTGTAAGGTCTCCCTTTACAGTTTGATAGATCGCTTGGACCTGTAAGCCGCTTCGCGTGACGTCACACTTAATAAGTAGTAGAAATATCAAAAAAATGGGTGTTGTCATGTTGAGGGCATGTTTGTTTTGGTGCTTTTAAATATCAGGATTGTTTTGCAAAAATCTGCTTAGTGTAAACTGGTGAAACGATTGTTGCGGAGAGTTTTATTTCGGTATGTTGATGTACTTTCAACTGAAACTTAATATTGAGTTGAGGGCAAGACATTCTTTTTGGTAATCATTTCCTCTTAGCAAACTAACGGTAAGAGAGGCGTGGTTAGGAATATTGTGACCGAACCCAAAAACTAATATCATTACAGAAGCACCAATCCAAACACTGAAGCAAAGGTTCAGATTTGATTAAAGATAATCAAAACAAAACAAAAAAATCAGTAGATTACCTCGCACGGATTAATTGTTCGACTAAATAACAGTAATGTGCGCTAGCAAAATAAACGAAGTAAATTATGAGTTCACACAAACTTTAATACCAGGTGCAAACAGGGTCTCAGCATGCCCCAACTGTGCCTAAGATGATATGACGTGAAGTATATTGGTTCCTTTAAAATTTTCTTTTCCTTTCAGGCTAATTTGGACGAATCTCAGATGAGTTCTTCTCCTTTTTTGAGAGCTTTAATGACTGCTATATGTAAAGCAGCAGTTAAAGGTGAGCAAGCTACTCGCTTTTGAGCCTTTTATTAAACAAAACCCAACTCCTCTTCCTCACACCAGTCACTTTCATCTGTTTTTATTCTCTCTTCTCTAGATGAAAGCACGTCCTGTCGAGTGGACACTGCTATCATCCAGAAACGCCTGCCTATATTACATAAGTACTTCGACTCGGACACCGAGCGGCAGCTGCAAGCACTTTATGCTCTTCAGTCTCTGATTGTCGCCCTGGATCAACCACCCAGTACGTAGCCAATGAAAAAAATTAAGCCAGGTGACAGGAGGATTTGTTTGGATGGTCATTTTTGATTTGTTTTTTTCCGCAGACCTACTCCGGATGTTTTTCGATTGTCTCTACGATGAGGACGTCATTTCAGAGGACGCTTTCTATCAATGGGAGACGAGTAAAGACCCGACAGAGCAGCTGGGAAAAGGCGTAGCGCTGAAGTCTGTGAACGCTTTCTTCACCTGGTTACGTGAAGCCGAGGAAGAATCTGAGGATAATTGACATGAACTGCTGGCCGATGCTCGGAGGCCTCGTGCTGAAACACATAATAAAATCCATTCAGACTCTGCAAGTCTAGCCACATGGGAACTTTGAACCACTGGCCTATTTGAGCTGGAACTCTCTACGACATGGAGGGAACACTAAATACTTGTATTATATATATAGAAAATATTTTTGTTTTAAAGTTTGACTTTTTTTCTTTTCTTTTTTTTGTTACTTTTAAAAGAAGAGACTTAAAATAGGTTCTGAACTCTTTAATTTATTATTTTTTTAAGAGACTGCAAATATGGAGTTCTATTTAACATTTGCAGGCAAAAAGAACATTGATAGAAATAACAGAATAAACAGTGTATCATAACAGTAATATTAATTTTGTTTTAATGTGTCGGCAGCCTCCCTGGATTCACCTTAAAACAGGGTATAAATGTATCCCCCTTTTCCCCAGTTCAACAAAAAAACGCATAAAGGGATGGAGACTGTTAATGTTGCCCATGTTTCAGGCTGTTTGGAGAAAACTTCCGCCCCTGGTTCTTCTGCTTCGACTTTTTCGCTCAATGAACTTTCCCAAATAACACGACAAACACAATAAAGAATTAATATGCATCCTGAACGGAATGAAAGTAATCCAGACATCAACTTCAAATACCTGTATGCATTGAAGGTGAAGTGCAAGTCAGAACATTGTCAGGATTGCTCAGTGTTCTTGTAATGAAGACCTGCAGAGGACGTGTAAAACTTGTAAATACATTAAAGAGACAAAAAATGAGATTTAAAAATGAACACGATGCTTGTGCTGTTTGTTTTCGGAGGAAGGAATATAATTGTTGCGGTCTCTGTGTTCTGGATGTCCAGCTTAAACAGACGATTTGCTCTCTACCTTATTGGTGTTCAAATGGTAATAATTCATTCATTTTCCGTCAGCTTAGTCCCTTTATTTATTAGGGGTCGCCACAGCGGAATAGACCGCCAATTATTCCAGCATACGTTTTACTCAGCGGATTCCCTTCCAGCTGCCACGCAGTACTGGGAAACATCCATACACACTCATTTCCACACATACACACAATTTAGTTTATTTAATTTACCTATAGCGCATGTCTTTGGACTGTGAGGGAAACCGGAGAACCCAGAGGAAACCCACACCAACACTGAAAGAACATGCAAACACAAAAACTAAAACTGACCTCACTGTGGGGCGACAGTATTAACTACTGAGCCATCATGTCGCCCCAAATGGTAATAATAATAATTTAAAATATTTTTTGATTATAAAAATGATGAGGAAAAGACAACATTCAATTTGTTTTACTTTTAAAGCTCATAATATTTGCCCAAGAATTTCATAAATAAGTACAATTTAAATAGTGAACAAATTTCAAAACTTACAAATATTATAAGTTGTTGATAAGAACAAGAATGTTTGCATTTTTAATGTATGTTTGAGGAAATAAAATAATAACAAAAATATATATATTACATTTTTCCTAAATATTTGAGCAAAATGATATATGTGGATAAGTAAGCATTTTATAAAAGGTTTTTGGGTTCGGGATATCCATCATGAACAGATAATTGGCTGTTTTTTTCCTCATTTTTGATCAAGGACAAATCAAATAGTAAAAGTCAATAAAAATTAACATCAAATCAGAAAAATACTATTTGATAATATTATAATATAGTGATATGTGATATAGTGATAAGTTCACGTTTTCTTTAATATTTGGGAATCAACTAATTGATGTATAAACAAGAACAATATGAAAAGTGTAAATGTTTGTCAAGAAATCTTGAAAATGTGTTTATTTTCACACAAGTTCTGTCTCCTTTGCCATTTAATGATACAAAATGCCGTCACTAACGTGTGTCCGTTAATTCAAAGTATATCAACTTAATAATTGATAAGCATATCTGCAGATCAGGTAGGCTATATTAAAATGAAAATTTTATTCGCATTATGTTTTTATATTAATATATTGTCAGTTACAAAGAGAGTATTTACCAAAATTCAATGAAAACCTTTAGTCGAGCTTTTATTTTGACACATTTAGAGACTTTTAATTTAACGGGTTTACGTGTACGTCTTGACGTAAGACGCACAGAACGTGTGCGCACATCCCTTGAAGTGGTAAGTCGTCGATTTTGTGCAACTTTAAATGAATGATACTCACTTTGTATCGTATTTATTGCTCACTTCAAACCTTAATTCTTACTTAACGCAAAAGCAGACACTGGATACATTTTATACGTCGCATGTAATACAAGCTGTTTTATAGCTATAAAGATTTAACGTACACAACAATGGCTGTGTTTTGAATCCATGTAACGTTACCTTAAGTTTCATACTTAAACAGCTTTTTAAAACCGCCACCAAGCGTGTTGTCTTGTTAGGCAGCTCGAAAACACAAAACTATCTGCTAACAAGGCGTTTTATCTTCCTCCTCTAAAGTGCAGGCATCAAGCAGTCAAGATGTTTCGACCCAAACCCACACTGAAGGACAGACAGCATCTGTACAAGCTGATCATCAGTCAACTGCTGTATGACGGATACACCATCATCGCCAACAGCCTCATCAGTGAAGTCAAGCCGCAGAATGTGGTTTCTCCATCAGAGCAGCTCATGCAGCTCGCCAAGATAGGTGAGACTCCAGCACGCACAAATAAACCTTCTCACACTTTTAGTCCATTGGGCTAAAGTTGGTGTTATATTCCCACATTTAGATTTTCTCATTAATAAATAGAATTTCAGACAAGTGTTCTTTGCAAATTCTTTTTTAATACTTTATTTTTATATCTCTTTTTCAAGGAAGAAAAATACAAATAATAAATAATGACAAACAAAAAATACAATAACATATCAGAACTTAAATGAATAGTTGACTGGTCACATATTTCCTTACATGAAAAGCATATAAACATACATATATAGATCAGTTTACAATGTGTAAAGGCGTAAGCACAATCAATTTCTCTCAATATTGCACAGGGTTCATACGGTCATGAAAAACCGTCAAAGTCATGAAATTTCTACAATGCACTTTCCAGTCTTGGAAAAGTTTTTGAAAAACCCACAAGGGTCTGTAAAAGTCATGGTCTCCCTGCAGAGTTTTGTTCCAACACTAGTCAAACAAACCTGAACAAACTAATCAGTGTCTTCAAGATCACTTGAACTCTATAGGGAGGTCTGTTTGAATAGGGTTGGAGCTAAACTGTGCAGGACGCCGGCCCTCCAGGACCGAGATTGCCCACCCCTGAGCTAGACACACAGCTGAATGCTATTGGTTTACAGAGATGCTTGTGCACAAGCCAGGAGAATGAAAACAAAGGAACCACCATTTTTAAAAACACAGCCAAGACATTGCACCGTACTAATAAATACACATAATAACGAATCATGGTCAATCCAAGCTTAAACCAACCTTGTTGTCGTCTTGATGAACGGCCACAAAGCCAAGAAGAACAAAATCTGCCATGTCCTGTTGTTGTTTTCGAGCCCGTCTAAAAGTGTGAGCGGTTTCAGTTTCTTCAGAGACCTCACCGCACGTCTATATTTGAAATAAAAAAAACTTCTTGAGCTCTAATTAATAACATGCTCGTGGTTATTTAAGTGCTTCTGACTTTCAGAAACGGACAAAGTGAGAGTGAAGCGAGAAAAAACAAAGGAGAAGCTGGAAAAAACGAGCAGCAAATTATTCTTTCTGCAACCTAAAACATGATAAAAGTTAAACATGGCAGTTTGTTCATGACCTTTCAAACTACTTCAGAGGTTACATGTGCTGGTGAAGATTAAAGATACAGATGAGAGGTTTGCACTGACTGGGCTATATGTTGTTTTTGAACCTAAATAAGGACTAAATGTATGCTATGTGTAGTTTTTCTGTAATCAGTAACATATCAGAGCCTGTAAGGGTCTGTATGTGTCGTATATGTGGCATTTTTTTATTTCATGTAATTGCAGATGTTACAGTAGGCCATTTCACCCTATCATTGATTTGCAGTTTTATTCAAAGCATGTATATAGAAAAGTTAGTAATGAACATTTATACACAAGTATTTATGTGTTCTAACTGTGAGAAGTGTTTTTCATAAGATATGTGAACGATCCATACAGCTCTACTGTAGACATTTTTTCGAGTAAAAATGATGTTGTCTGAAACTTTGTCATGCACCATGTTCACCAAAAGGGTACCTATAGTACCCTTTTGGCAGTGGAAATGCAAGCCTGATAAAGGAGACCCGTACCGACCCTTACCATACTGTACCAGTCAGTAAAGACACGCGCCAAGGTGTAATAAGTTCTGTGAAGATCTTTAGCAGTAGCGGTAAGTTTGGGGGTTGCAAGGTTTTTTATTTTATAGAAAAAAATAGCACATACTGGTTTTCAGCAAAAATACATTAAATTCTTCAGATGCATTAATAAAAATGTACATTAATTTAAAAAGAAAAATCAAAAGAGCCACATTTATCATTGTTTAAAATTAAACGAATGTAAGTTTATTTTTGAAGATGAATATTTTATCAGAGTTGTAATAAAAGCACCATACATTTAATATTCAATTCAAGTTTATACATAGGCTTTTGACCATAATTATTCTTCCAAAGCAGCTTCACAAAAGTGTGTGTTATTAAATTAGAATCAAATCAGACTTAGTGTGACAAGGGTGGACTGGACAATATAGCCGTCATGCATATACATGGATAATCTGTACACCTTTATACAATATAATGTACTTTTTTTCAAAAAGATAGCATCTACAATATATTTTCAACTAGATTTATTGATCAAGACAGTAATTAAGAACATACTCTGTGAATAAAAAGTCTTTGCTGTTTTTGAGGTCCTCGCAGACTCACTTTTGCACTTCATCAATGCAACCTGTAATTCTGAAGAATTAGTTCAGCAGACAGAGACTAGGTGGTCTTTTTGTAGCTGTTTGAATGCATTTGACCACATAAATGGTTACACCATAAAACTAAAGCGATTAACTGTGTTTTTGACTACCTCTGGAAATGCCAGTTCTAACCACACTGACAAATGCTGGAAAGTTGTTGGATTGCAGCTAGACACTTCTCAACAGACACCCACAAGACTAACACACTGATCCACTGAACACTTTGTAGTCTGTTGGTAGGGGTCAAATCAAGTTTATTTATTTATGAAGCACATTTTAAAGTAGCCACGAGAATGACTAAAGTGCTGCACATGAAATCAAACTGCATGTAGAGCAAAATAATAAAACGCAAGAGAAAAGGGTTCAAAAACCGAACAATAGTCAACACAGTAAAATATTAGTGGGCCAAATCGAACAGGTGATTTTTTAAAGTTATGTAAACATGGGTAACTCACAGCAAGAAAGGCGCTGGTTCGAGCCTCTGCTGGGTCAGTTGACATTTCTGTGTGGAGCATGTTCTCCCTGTGTTTGCGTGGGTTCTTTCTAGGTGCTCAGGTTTCTCCCACAAGTCCAAAGACATGCCCTATAGGTGAATATGCTAAATTGTCCGTAGTGAATGAGTGTGTATGGGTGTTTTCCAGTGATGGGTTGCAGCTGGACGGGCATCTGCTGCGTAAAACATATGCTGGATAAGTTGGCGGCTCATTCCACTGTGGCGACCCCTGATTAATAAAGGGACTAAGCCAAAAAGAAAATGAATGAAAAATGTATAAGGAAGGTGCCTCACTAATCTCATGCTGCAGATTGGGATACAGAAAAGCTTCTGTCCCAACTATGTTTGAGTCTGGACTGCAGAACTTCAAAAAGATTTTGATCACTGGATCTTAAACTTCTAGCTGGAGTTTTAAAATGTAACCACTATCTAGGAGATAGAATATGTGAGGATTTATAGACCAGAAAACTTTATCATTGGTTCTGGATTAAATGTAGCCAATGAATCGGGGCAGCCAATGGAGGATGTCTCTCAGGATGGGGGTAATGTGATCACATCTGCGACTATTTTGAATAAATCTATTTTTAGACCAATTGCAAGTAAAAAATAGTGACTTAGTCTTAGATTTATTAAATCTTCAAATCTTCAACCATCTTAAATCTTAGTTTTTTTTTTAAATGTACGAACCTTTTTTGTATGTATTTTATCATCTTTGCATTAAATTAAAAACAACAAATTACCGCTTGTGTAAGGTGTTTATAATGCAGCATCTATGGTACTGGGCAGTAAATTTGAGGTTGTTCTCTCTTCCTGCTTCTGTTATCAGTATCACACTATTTTTCCCCCTTTTTTCTGAAAGTCTAGATCAAAATATTTTGGATTTTTTCTTTTATTATTTCAGCAAATAGTATTGTGTAAAAAAATATTTGTTGTACTCTTCCATTCACTCCTGTTTACACTAAACAGGCACTAAGTTTACCCAACTTGATGATGTCTTCTACTGAGAAAGCTGGAAATGTAAAAAGGATCTATTTTGAAGTAATAATAATGTAGTAGCATTTAAAAAGTGTTTGACCGTAGACGGCAGGCAGATTTGGTAAAAGCTGAAGCCAATTACAGAAGTGATGCATTTATCAGTTAAATTGAAGTGGTTGGAGGTTGCAGAATGTTTCAGATCCTATTTTCAGCTATTTAGTGTTGTCCACTTTTTTTGGTCCAATCGAGAAAAATAGTTGAAAATACCTTGTGTGAACAGTGTTTTCTTGACAGAATTTCACAGCTTTACGAATGTGACTTGCAGTAAAAACTCAAAACAAGAATTCGCAGAGGAAGTATATGTTAACATTAAAGCATCTGTTTATATTTCCAAAACTATAACTACAGAGTCATGGGATCAGAAAAATATCAATCTGTAAGCATTTTTATATTTTAAATGCAAAAACTAATCATGCGTTATGGATGTGACCAAAAAGTCTGCAAGTTTGCAGTATACAATATATTTTGTAGAAATTCTGTTAATTAAACTGCACAACCCAAAACAAATAATGCTAATCAAAAGGCTAAGAGTCATCTCACTATAGAACAGAAATGATTTTTGCATTTATGAGGAAAAAGCTTCATTATGGATGTGACATGTGAAATTAACACTTGTGTGACTTTGGTACATCAAATATAATAGTTTGAAAGCATTGACAGAGACATTTGAGTTTTTTTACAGTACTTTAAAATACAAACCTACACAAAAAAAACTTTCACTTTTCAAAAAAAGGTTTCACTATTTTGGTGAACCTATTTTTTTCATAGTAAGGTTGACTTTGCATGGAATTGCTTATAAGCACTTTCACATTTAGTTATTTAGGCTGCATTTACACTGCATGGTTCAAGTGATTCAATTCTAGTTTTTTTTTCTTCCGTGTGGCACAGATCAGATATGGCCCATTGATAAATTTTCTTTAATAAACTATAGTTAAACAACCTGTCCAAAAAAAAAATAAAAATCCTTGCAAACACATTAAATAAAGAGAGAAAAGAGGGCTTTTTTATTGTCAGCTGTCAGTCAGCGCCCGCTCTTTATTTTTTTTTTTTTATTTATTTTTTTCCCCGTGTCATTGTGCCTTTGCTGTGTATATGCAGACAATGCGATACGAGTCACATTTAAAAGATGATGTATGCTGGCCATCAAAAAAATCTGATATCGTCACAAAGTCAGAATTTGACCATTAAGGTCTGCAGTGTAAATGCAGCCTTAGTAGTCTTTTGTCTAGAGGGTGTAAATTTATATCATTACTAATGCTACTTTGACAGAGCAAAAACTAAATCTTAAATTATTCAAAGACACCTGAAATGCACTTTCTTGTGATTTGGCAGGAATGGAGAATGATGACAGTGCTGTGCAGTATGCCATTGGCCGCTCGGACACTGTGGCCCCTGGTGTGGGCATCGATCTGGAGTTTGATGCAGATGTTCAGACCATGTCCCCTGAAGCATCAGAGTACGAGACCTGCTATGTGACTTCTCATAAGGGTCCATGTCGTGTAGCCACATACAGTCGTGATGGGCAGCTCATCGCCACAGGCTCCGCCGATGCCTCCATCAAGATCCTGGACACAGAGCGCATGCTGGCCAAGAGTGCCATGCCTCTGGAAGTGAGTGCTTTGATTTTGGCAGTGATTTCTATCTGGTTGATTACTCATGAGCTGATCTTATTTTCTGTATGCATATTTTAGATGTTACTATGAGCAATTACATGTTCAATTGTCTTCACTTGAGTTAAATATTCACATTTCAGTCTTCAGCCAAATTTTTTCTTAATTAATGGGATAGTTCTCCCAAAAACCTGTCATCCTTTACTCACCCTTCACTTGTTCCAAACCAGTTTGAGTTTCTTTGGATGTCAGAACCTACCAGATTCATAGCACATCAAAATATCTTATGCTTGACAGAAAAAAGTCAAACAGGTTTGGAACAACTTGAGGGTGAGTAAAATAGTGAGTTTTCTGGTAAACTATGCCTTGTATAATCTATTATGCGAAAATGTTGCTGATTAGTTGCTACTTCAGTTTGATTATGGCTGTAAGGATATGTTGTTTATTACAGTTGGACAGTCTAATCATGCGTTTCTGTTTTTGTGGTAGGTTATGATGAATGAAACAGCCCAGCAGAACATGGAGAACCACCCTGTGATCAGAACTTTGTATGATCACGTGGACGAGGTCACCTGTCTCTCTTTTCACCCGACAGAGCAGATCTTGGCCTCTGGATCTCGAGATTACACTCTCAAACTCTTCGATTATTCAAAACCTTCTGCAAAAAGAGCCTTCAAGCACGTACAGGTATGATCAAATCCCGCTAAATCAATCCTCTAGGTAAGATTTTAGAATAAACTTGGTGTAAAATCACATTCTGGGTTATTTGTGAATTTCATTAGCATTCATTGAAAATATTTGCATGGATTTCTATGTAATGATGATTCTTTTTGTTTCATAAAGGAAGCAGAAATGCTGCGGTCCATATCCTTCCACCCCTCTGGGGATTTCTTACTGGTTGGTACGCAGCATCCAACACTTCGCCTATATGATGTTAACACTTTCCAGTGTTTCGTGTCCTGCAACCCCCTGGATCAGCACACAGACACCATTTGCGGAGTCTGTTACAATCCCAGCGCTAACAGCTACGTGACCTGCAGCAAAGATGGCAGCATCAAACTCTGGGACGGCGTGTCCAACCGCTGCGTGACCACCTTTGATAAAGCTCATGAGGGTGCAGAGGTCTGTTCGGCCGTCTTCTCCAAGAACTCAAAGTACATTTTGTCCACCGGGAAAGATTCTGTTGCCAAACTCTGGGAAATTTCCACAGGCCGGACGTTGGTCAAGTACACAGGTAAGCGTTCTAGATTATGCTAAGATTAAAGGCTAGATTAAAGGTTAATGTCACTACCTGATAAAAGTCTTGTTGATGATCCCAGTTGTAAGAGAAACAAATAATAACTTGACTTCTAGTTGATCTTTCGGAAAAGTAACAGAAGGTAGATTTTTCCGATGAATAATCTGTTGAACTGCATCCCAATCATCACAAATACCGCAGACCTATTGGAACTCACATGGACGCATAGATTTTTACAGAAGTCAGTCCAGTTTGGTGAAGGAAAAATCACGATTTGGGGTTACATTCAGTATGGGGGCGTGTGAGAGATCTGCAGAGTGGATGGCAACTTCAACAGCCTGAGGTATCAAGACATTTGTGCGGCCTATTACATTACAAAACACAGGAGAGGGCAAATTCTTCAGCAGGATAGCCCTCCATCTCATACTTCAGCTCCACATCAAAGTTCCTGAAAGCAAAGAAGGTCAAAGTGCTCCAGGATTGGCCAGCCCAGTCCCCAGAAGTGAACATTTTTCAGCATGTCTGGGGTAAGATAGAGGAGGCATTGAAGATGAATCCAAAGAATCTTGATGAACTCTGATAGTCCTTTAGGAACGCTTTCTTTGTCATTCCAGATGACTTTATTAATAAGTTATTTGAGTCAGTGCAGAGATGTATGGATGCTGTCCTCCAAGCTAATGGGAGTCATACACAATATTATTTTTCCACTGCACCATGACTTTACCATGACTTTATATCCTGTAATGTACATTATTTCTGTTAAGTGACAAGACTTTTGTCTAAGCAAAGTCAGACCTTACCTGCTTCTACATAATTTGAAGAATTGCCATTGTGTTGATTTCACCTGCAAGGCTGCATTCAAAAACATGTAGTCCAGTTCAGAATCAAATGACTCTTACAAACATAAAGCGCAACCAGTAGTAGTCTGATACCTTCCCTAAGACTTCTCTTAGACTGAAGGCTTGGGGCAAATGGAGTAAAACAATTCTTAGAATACTATACTGTACTGTAGAATACTAAAATACATATCTTGTGCTGGAAAAGTTTGAAAATGCACACTTGAAAAGAGATCGAGTCAGACTCTGGAACAGGTTTAAGATACCTGATGAATGTATATTGTGATCAGCATATCTTGAATTTAGTATCTTCTTTTAATAGGACAGATTGATTGATTGATTGAGACAGACAAATAGATAGATAGATGGATGAATGGATGGATGGATGGATAGATCACCCTGAGTATTTACATGTTGTTCTTTTGTTGCTCTGGTTACTGCCGTTGTCCTCATTAATAAGTTGCTTTGGATTAAAGTTTCTGCCAGATTATGTAAATGTAGTAATAATAAATGATTTACGCAGAATATTTTTTTCAGCAGAGAGAATTTTAATCTTGAATCTGAATCAAATCTAACCTAACAAAGTTATAATTACCTGAATATAATATTTAAAGCATGTAAATGAGTATTGAATTTACTTTGCCACACATGCTGGAAATTCCCCATCTGTCAGTAGTGTTTCAGCAGCTCACCCTCATTGTGTTTCCTGTCTCTCAGGTGCCGGTCTCAGTGGGCGGCAAACACACCGCACTCAGGGTGTTTTCAACCACACCGAGGACTATGTGCTACTGCCGGACGAGCGGACCATCAGCCTGTGCTGCTGGGATTCACGCACAGCCGAGAGGAAAAACCTGCTGTCACTGGGCCACAACAACATCGTGCGCTGCATCGTACACTCACCCACAAACCCCGGCTTCATGACCTGCAGCGACGACTTCAGAGCACGATTCTGGTATCGCCGCACCACCACTGACTAACAGACATTTGTGTGCTTTGAGACCCCAAGAATCTGAAGTTTACTTTTAACAGCAGGTCCCAAACGCAGAAATGTCCACACTGTGTATGACAACACCAAAGCTGCGTAATGTTCAGCACACACAGTCTTTTTAAAAGCATGAAAGAGCTCGATGTCTCTTCTCACTGCGGTACCTGTGCATTACTGTCAGCTAGTGCTGTTTTTTTTTACAAAATGTAACTTTTTTTAGAACTTTGTTTCATGGATTTGAGATCATTTAGTAGTATCAGAATCGTCATCCATTAAGATGCGTTGATTTATTCATTTGCAGCTAGTGGAAAAACACATTTTGTGTTATTTGTGTATCCGATAATAAGTAGACCGGGATCATTCTATCATGGCGCGTGCCTAGAATGTCTTTTTGATTTCAATTTGTGTACCGTGCTCTTTGTTTTTATTAAAAAAACTCTGATAAATTGTTTGTTTGTTTGTTTTACAGTTGTGACAGTCCTGTTTATGAATGGCACTAACCATTTTGTTTGTAGAGGAGATTGCGATTGCTCAATTTGGCTTAAAATCCCTGTGAAATCAAATTAGGGGCTGCACGATATTGGAAAATTGCAATATGAATGATTGCGATCATGAACATCATTTCACAACATGACTATTTAAAAGAATTTATCGTTTTACATGGATTGGGATCATTTTTTTACTGCAGTCCATCAGCATTAAATCTACAAAATTATACAAAAAAATGTGTATTTATACATATACAAAATAAATTCAACTAAAGCACAGATGAAAACAACAGAACAAAGAGAAAAATGAACAAACAGCACTTTATGGTTATAGCTGAAGTCAGAAATTCAATAATCTAATGTAAATTAACACTAGATAGCAGTGGTAGGACACCTCATCGCCAGCCACATGTGGCTCTTTGACCAAAAATACGCGGCTATTCCTTCAGTAATATTTTAAGGTTTAAAAATTATATTTGTCACAAGAAATCCATTTACTATTGAAAATACAATTTCATTTTATTGCATTTTTTTACAGCAAAATGAATAAGAACTCCGTTTACAATAAAAGGCCATTTTAACCAGTGCATGTGGACCCCAGTGTAGCTCAACTTAAATTGCTACACAAGTTAAGGGCAAACAACCTCTGTTTCTATAGGAACCTCACACACATAAATGTAAACAATATTCATGAGTGGTGATGGCAAAAAAATAAAAAAAATCTTTATTCATTCAACATGTGATGCTTCATATTTGTGTTTCTGAGTTGTGCATGAATATAAATAAAGTTTTTGTTTAAACTTTTATCATTAATAGTAGTAATATATTCCCCAATGGCTCTTTAAAATATGCGTTTGCCCAAAAAATCAGAAACGGCTCTTTGCTGAACTTTTTTTTTTTTCCTGAAATTCTCTTGAAACTGCTTGAGATCCTGGGATGTGACTATTGCAGATTCGCACATTGCGATATCGATGCTGAAACGATCTATTGTGCAGTCCTAAATCAAATCTTTTTTTAAATGTTAGTATCAGTGTGTTAGTTTTAACAACGACAAAATTAGCATTAAGATGTAAACCTCTAAATCTCTAAAGTTTGCCACTTGTGCCTAAATGGATCGATCGTTTTCTTTGATGTCACCTCATACTTTAGTTTCTCATCAAACCTTCTGACCATACAAATGCTTTCTAGTATCTGACTAGACCCCCCACCCCCGGCTGTTTCTTATAAAGGGGGAGAAGCTACTGTATGTCCCAGCCTCTTTTTATGTTTCATCTTTAATGTTTTGAACAATCTCGAGTGTAATTTAAACCATTAGATCACAGATGTCAAACTTAGTTCTTGGAGGGCCACAGCTCTGCAGTTTAGTTCCAACCCTAGTGAACCCTTTTCACAAGACTCTTACGATGTGTTTAACAGTCATTATAATCTTAAATCCTTGAAAAGTTTTTAATATTTTGACTTTGAAAAAAACATGAATATTTACACATTATATCATCCTTGCATCAAATTACAAAGCCCAATTCAGAGCATTCACACTTCACAAACGATCTGGAAAATGGGCCTGGGCACGGTTTGGATAGTATGAGTGCGCTCTTAAACTGCAGGACACCAGGACCCAGTTTGTCAACCGCTGCTTTAAGCACTCCTCTCTAACCACTGTAAGATAGAGGTGGTGTGGAGGAGTGCTAAAACAAAACCTACCTTACTTAAGAGCTTGTGCTTCAAAAAAAACAACATATATATATATATATATATATATATATATATATATATATATATATATATATATATATATATATATTTATATATTAGTAATAATTTACCTACTATTAAGTTGCTTCAAGCCTGTTGAACGCAAAAGAAGATAATTTGAAAAATGTTGGATGCCAGACCTTTGACTTCTATAGTGTTTTTTTTTTTCAACTGTAAGAGGTTGTTACCTTTATCTGAGCAGGCGGCATGATGTTCTTACCATGTTCTTTTTTTACCTACATGAAAATATACTGTAGAAACGTACAGCAAATACTGTAGTGTTTTTAAACAATACTAAAGTGAAATGTATTATGCTATGTTTATATTATATTAATTGCAGCAGCTTATTAATAAATGCTCCAGCTTACTGTAAAATTAAAACTAGTGAAGTGATAAATTGCAGTAAGCTGTTGTCTTGTGTAATAAACCCTATAGTTATAGAATACTTCATTCATTCATTTTCTTTTCGGCTTAGTCCCTTTAATGATAAGGGGTCGCCACAGCGGAAAAAACTGCAAACTGCAAACTGCAAAAAAAAAAATGTTTTACACAGCGGATGCCTTTCCAGCCACAACCTGACACTGGGAAACACCCATACACTCTTGCATTCACACACATAAACTATGGATAATTTAGTTAATTCAATTCCCCTATAGCGCATGTCTTTGGACTGTGGGGGAAACCTGAGCACCTGGAGGAAACCCACGCGAACACGCACACATGCAAACTCCACAGAGAAATGCCAACTGACCCAGCAAGGGCTGAAACCAGCAACCTTCTTGCTGTGAGGTTATTTTGCTACCCACTGCGCCACCGTGACGCCCTAGAATATTGCCGTATTGGGTAATTTGTTTGTATTACAATAAGTAGTTGTTACTATAGGATTACCACCACAGATTAATCTTTAATCTAATGTTACTATAGTATGATTCAAAAACACTTATTTACTATGAATTACTATAGTATTTTTATATGGTTATACAAAAGCCATTGCATTAAAATTGACAAGCACACATGTACAGCCATGTTAAAAAAATAAGAACTTATTAAAACATGATTTTTGCATTTCTTTAAACGTTTAATATAAAAAATAATCTCATTTAAAGCATAAAATTAATATGTGGATGGATTTTTGAAATAATTATTGTAATTATTATAAATATTATTTGTAAATAATAAAATGATAAAAATATATAAATTTTATTACAAATAAAAATTGTTATAAATCGTTTATCAGTGTTGAATTAATAGTTTAGTGCATATTTATAAATATCTGATCATTAAATAGACTTGAGAGTGGCTCTTACAGTATCTACTCACAACCTGCATGAAATTGATCAGCATGCTCCGTTTCCTCCCTCAAACATTTATTAATAATTCTCCACGTGAGTTTCAGCTATAGATGTTCTCAGCATGCATGCGTTTGCTGTGGCTTCTTCTTCTATGTTTGGCTATATTTGTGGCTGATGGTTAAAAGAGAACGAGAACAGAGAGAGGTGGAAATAATGCCCACCATCTCACCATGCACACACTGATGAAATGGTGCATTAGTCATTTACAGAAGCTGCAACCACTGCTGTTTGTACAATAACCAGCAGAGTCAGACGTGTGCTCGTATGTCATATCGTGTCCAGCATATATGAGTGAAACCGATTTGTGAAAACCAATCAAATCACTTTTAAATGGATGTTTTCCCATGGGATCCCATACAGTAAAGTTATTGATCATTCAAACCTTGTTTATTGGCTTATATTAGATTATTAGGGTGGCTTGAGAAAGACAACACACTGTTATACTACATCAATGTATTATTCTTCTGTCTTCTTCTGACACTTATTTCCATGCATCTCCTCCTAGACCATTCAAGCTACAACCACCAAACTAAAACCAAACCTCCAAACTGGTCTGACTCGGGTTGCTATATCTTTTCCAACTGATCTGTCCTATGTTTTTCGGAAAACTGATCCAGAAAAATCGTGAAAGTTCCATTGACTTAACATTGGACCAAAATTTATGACCACATAACTTTCCGCCAGACTGTCATACACAGAACACCCTAGCAATGCCTTAACAAATCCCTAGCAGTCACTCAGAACACAGTAGTAACCGCCTAGCAACACCTTATCAACCACTCAGAAGACCCTACCTAGCAATACCTTAGCAATCGCCTAGCAACCACCAAATACACCCTAGCAACCACCTTAGCAAACAATCAGAACACCTTAGCAACTGCCTAGCAATGCTTTAGCAACCACTCAAAACACCCTAGCAACCACCTAGAACACCTTAGCAACTTCATAGCAACACCTTAACAAACATTCAAAACACCCTAGCAACCACTCAGAATACCTTAGCAACGGCCAAGCAATGCCTTAGCAACCACCTAGAATAACCTAGCAACTGCCTAGCAACACCTTAGCAACCACCTTAGCAACCACCAAGCAACGTCCTAGCAACCTTCCAGAAAACACTCGCAACCTCCTAGCAACACCATTGCAATGACGGGCAACCACTTAGAACACCCTAGCAACCGCCTAGAAACATCTTAGCAACCACCTAGGACACCCTAGCAATGCCTTAGCAACCACTTAGAACAACCTAGCCATCGCCTAGCAATGCCATAGCAACTGCTCAGTGGTCAACCTAGCAACCACTCAGAATACCCTAGCAACACCTTAACAACTACCTGCAACACTCTAGCAACACCTTAGCAACCACCTAGCAGCATCTTTGCAATGACCTAGCAACCACTTAACAAACAGTCAAACGTCCTAGCAACCACTTAGAACACCCTAGCAACTACCTGGCAAGAAGCATGCCAATCCACACTACCAGACCTATATGTAGTTATCTATCTACGCCAACTGCATCTTAACTTTTTAAAAGCTACTTCAATTATTTAATGTTTAAACTACTTCAATCTTTCAGACTGGCCTTTCTCAAGACACCATAAAGTTTATCTAAAAACTTTACTTTTTTGTTGCTATTTATGAAATGTTACTTTACTTTTTTTTTGTACGTTGCGCCTTTTTAAACTTCTCATTTGAAGTTCAAGTCAAGTTGAGGCTTTACTGTGAGGTGTGGACATACAGTGGAACATAAGGTCTTGTCTCGCAGGATCACGGTGCCACATAAATAAACATCACATCATAATTATGAACATAACACAGGAAGTAAGAGCTATTTTAAACCTGTACGTAACTAATATAGCAGACCAGTAAATAACTATGCATATACTATAAATATACTTAACTATGCATGTACTTAATACTTAACTCTATATGTGTCTAAGACTATACACTTACTTTTACATAAGACAGAAGAAAATTGTCCAAGATATAGTGCAAAAGAGGTATTTTAAGGTTGAAGACAAATAGTGCAAAGATTTGTGGTGCATTCACAAGTAATCATAGTTGACTCCTTGTAAGATGGAGTTTAGGTAAAGTGTCTGGTGTATATAGAGAGAGAGAGCTGGTTTCTACAGGTGGTTTGTCAAGCCCACTCACGTTTGTGAAGCACACTACAGAAATGTGCAATGTTTTTATAGAGATATGGAGTGATTGTAAGAATGAAATTTAAATAAATTAATTTTCTTATTATATGATCACTCTAATGTTAATCAATAAAACTTTTGGGTTAATAAATATAAGATACAGATTGGATGTACTCATTTATGCTGGGGTTACATTATATTATATAATTTTATATATATTATTTTATATTCATTATATAATAATATATGATATTTATTATATTCATAATCTTATATTATACTATATTTATTATATTATAATAATTTTATAATATTATATTGATTATATTTTTTATTATATTATTATACTATATTATAATTAATATATTATTTCATGTTATGTTTATTATATTATATTATATTATATTATATTATATGTACTGTATCATTCATTCATTCATTCAATTTCTTGTCGGCTTAGTCCCTTTAATTTATTCCGGGTCGCCACAGTG